ATGCATATTTACCATTGGACACGCACAAATTGAAGATAACTGACAAACAAACTAAAAGTATATAGCAAAATTACACGACTACAGAAAGCAATTTTACAGGCAAATTACTTATAGTCATTTTTTAACTTGGCTGAAGTCTATCATTAATGAAACCCGAAATCATGCGTGACTTAGGCGTTTCAACTGTGAATTTAAAATATTTCAACCAAGATTATGGTATGGCAACATATATAATCCATAATAACTCTTGACATAAAATCCAAGCAACATAGCCCTGCATGAAACAGGTAAATCTAGTTTGTGAAATGTTGTAGGGTAGGCTATTAATTGTATACAAGAAAACTAGCTATATACTAGGCTCTATATAAGCAGTTCGAGACTTCTTTATCTTTAATAAACAGTACCTTCTTGTCTCTAAATATACCTATACGGGGCTTCGGTAGTGCAATCGTCAGAGCAAGCGTCTTTCACCTCTGAGTTCGCGGGTTTGATTCTCGCTACGGACTCATGTGAAAAGAGTCAGTCAACGCTCTGCCGAAAGTCGTGGGTTTTCTTCGGGTGCTCCGGTTTCCTCGCACAGGGAAAGTTGACAGGGTGGGTTAGAATAAACATGCACAGTTGAGAAAGTAATATCACAATTGTGGGATAAAATAATCTAGGCTAAGTATGTAATTGGGTAAGCGCGTATATTTTATATACTCCACATGTAAATTTGCAATTGCCCTATAGAAATGCATGCTAATCGTAATCGTGATTAACCGAGGTACAGTACACTATGTGAGATTTCTAATACGAAATCAGCCAGAGTCAGTTCTTATATAATGGGGTTTAATTCTCCATCAAAAACAAACATTATACTGAATATCTCCATGCAAGTACGTTCCCATGCACTTGAAAAGTAATCAACTACTGTTTTAAGTTGCAATACTAGTACAGCAGCGAACTACAACTAATTCGCAAATCCAGAGCAAAACTGAAATCTCTTGAGTCTTGGTTTCTTATTTTCCGGCGATATACATAAAACTCAGTCAGTAATTTAGAAATTGTTCAAATAATTATACGATCAAACATAACATATGCATGCTTTCAAGTTTTAACACGTCAAATAATGGCGTTGCTTCTTAATTTGACTGTTGGCTGTATAATATACCTTACCTTGTAATACAGTAGTTGAGTAGTTTTGATGACGAACAACAGTACTTGTGATTGCGCTGAAATTAAGAGAAATAGGCAAGATATACCAATACGCAGAATACAGATATCTTTACCGCTCAACATGTACAACTGCATTAAGGTAAAGAAATGCAAAATTCAGATCAGTAAACAATTTTTGTATGATGTTATAATTAATAATCATTGTAGGGCGCCTAACTTAATAACTTAATTTCAATGCCAATGGCATGCAAGAACTTTTGCCGCCATGCTTTCACTTTCGCATCCGAGTTTTGAGCTGTTAATAAATCATAATACGTCAATATAACCATTTATTTAGTTCTGTTCAATCTGATAAACGATCGTTTTATCAACCTTACCGCGAATTTTTTGTGATTTATGTTCAAATTTAAATAGAATGCTAAGCGACATTAGCCATGCAGATAATGACCAATGCCTATATAATGGTTGAGATCTCGTCTTGGTAATAAACAAATCTATAGTATTCCATTTATGGTGTACGTAATGACTAATGTTTTCGAAACGTTTTTGATCAAACAGGGTCTGAGACAAAAGTTTTTAATAGAACATAATTAAGAACATTTAAAAACCTGAAGTTTGCTTAATTTAATTTAATTACTAGATATATATGAATAATATATACCACTTTTATATATGGTCCATATATATAATGACTATTTAAGAAATAGAAAACATTTTCCGTGTTTCTATAGAGTAAAAGAAACACGCGTGCTAGTTTGGGAGAACGAGAAATAATCAGTGGGAACACGAGCACGTAGTGCGAGTGTTTCCACGTTATTTCAGACTCGTTCCCAGTCGTTATTTGAATTTCAAATTTATAGGGACGAATAAGGTATATATCCATATATGTGTATATAGATCAGTACCAAAGGTGGACGCGCGCAAAGGGAAATGTAGCCTGCATGGCAGGCGGTCTAAAATACCGCCTGCTGGGTTTGACAGTGTAATTTGATAACCGCCCACTTTTTTGTCCGGGTCCAATTAGCCAATCAGCAAACACTAAATATATTAATAATCAAACTGTCAAACTATGTTATTGTTTGTTCGCAAAATTGCAAATGTATACAAATATGTCGAAAGAAACGCCATTGAAAGTTTCAATCAGGACCGAATAAGGCGAATAACGACAAGAGGTAGAAAAGCAAGCGCGGAAAATGTAAATGACTTGTCGTTTGTTTAAGTGTGCTTTGAAACTAAAATACGGGGCAATACGCCAATAGAGAAAATATCTTATATTCTTATATATCGTTGGAGAAATTATTTATTTAAGGCAAGCAAAAGAAACGTTACGACAGTGGTAAAACCTTGGCCGAAATCCAGACTGGAAAGTTTGCAAATTGCGCGACCGAGATCAAAATATTCCGGATTTTTGCGCGCCCAGTTTTCGAATCTGCGCGTTTGGTATCTGAATTAGCGCGTGCGGTTTTAATTCATAGTTTTCAGTTTTCACCAAACGTGACAAAGTAAAATTGTTTATTACATTAGTTCATGTTCTATGTTAGTTTATTTGCTTACGAAATTACGGAAATTTAAATCATCACATTCACGTACACCACCATACGAAACGCTCAACAACATCCGTTGCTTGCCCAAGCCTTTTTTAAGAATTTGTCCGTGGGGAGAAAGCAATCTACAAAAAGGGACCACATTATTGTATGTAATAGTAGGAGGGTCTGGGGGGATTCTCCCCCAGAAAATGTTTGAATTTTTCCACCCCTAGGACTGCATTTGGTGCATTTTCAGAACAGATTTTTGGATGCACAGCGTTACATTATAGACAGCACTTTAGATATATTCTTACAGAATCTTCAGTTACAACTCGGTCACTAACTTGTTTCGCCAATTAGTCTAGCCTTCCAACAACTCAAATCTATAGGGTCCGGGATATGCTATTCAATGAGGCACTGGCTTAAAATCTAATGTATTCAGGACACAATTTTTAGCATTTTTATAGACATTGAATTATTTGAAGATAAAAGACAGGGCATAAGATTCACAAAGCAAATTTCAGTTACTAGAATATCAAATATTCTTTCCAAATTCCATTTTTCGTCCAATATAATTTGCTGATATTTTAGAGAAGAGACTTTGACTGGGGACCAAAATGGTTGAATGGTGGTGGGGAGTCATTGGGGCTGGGGGATTTTGGCTCCCAAGTTATATAGTTAAAAAGGGCCCTGTTAATGCTTGCAAACACTCCAAACAGTACTATATATTGCTAGTCTTGTCTATAACATATTCGTGCACTATACATCTACACGTCTATTCCACAAATTATCTCGAATTTGTACTTACAATACCTCATGGTCCATTTACATTATCTTACTAAATTACTAATATGTTATCTTTTAAATTGCCAATGGGCGATCATACATAGGTCCGTATATATATATATATATGGAAGGCAGGCACCTAATCGATGTTTGTTTAACTATTGTAAACTCAGACGTGTGTTCTTGAATGAGAATTGAATAAAGACAGTTAAATTATTAACTGATTTGTCAAGTACCCTGAAACGACTATATAAAAGCTGCAAACATGATTTGTTGGGTCAGCAACCAGGTGATGGTAAGGACGGTCATTTGGTTATTAAAGTATCTTTCAACAGCAACCAGGTGGTAGCAAGGAAGATATTTCAGTTATTAAATATGTATAAACAGCAACCAGGTGGTGGCTAGGAAGGTATTTCAGTTATTATATATTAAAGATAGGTAATCGGACCTCTACAGGCGTTTGGGATTTTGCGTTGTGCAACTTTCTTGTAAGCCTTATTTAGTTATTGGTTTCTAAGATCTTCACAGGGTCTGGAAAGTATACTTGACTTTACTGTGAAATATTGTATAGCAGGTACATGCATGCATGGACAGCATGGTTATAGTGTGTGCAGTGTTTTGTGTATTTCCTTTGTCAGTCCATGTCATCTAAAATGATTCCTTAATGATAGGAATAATTTGATGATGTACATTACTCACATGGCCTTGCGAGGAGACCATCCCGTGAAGTGCAGTACGCATGTGATAACGAACTCACTCCGTCACGCAAACTGCTATGTCCTATCTAAGACATTTAACCCAACCCCAGTCCCAGAAATGCAAGTATAAGACCTCTATACGTGGGTATCATCCCAATTAGGTTAATGGATTTCCTAGATGTTCACATGCAGTGTCTGCGAGGCAGACCAATACTGTAAAGTATTGCGTAGGCCTAATAGGTATAATAAAGGTATGTTATATACCCTATAGAACCTATGTATAGCCATATGTGGTGCTAAACGTAGGCTTGGTTATGGTTTGCCGTACAGACTCTGACTACCTAAAGTTAAGTTGCAGGGTAAGAAAGTCCGTTTGTCTGTGATTGTGAACTTTATTTACCCACGGTAGACTTATCAGGATTTTACATAAAAGATGATAAGAGAATACAATATAGTTACAGATTACAGAATATGAGGCAGATGTTATCAAATATATATGGTTCGAATAATAAGGCAGAATTTTTCTGACCAAACCATCCCATTTGTATAAATATTAATGGCAATAAATAATAGACCGATGAATGGTTTTGATGATTATGAATCTTAATGAAACATGGAAATTGGCTGTGATTGAATATTAGGGCTATAATACTATATCATATTTCATAGAGTCTTGGGTTAACCCTATTCGACTGTGAATTTTATTCAGTTTCGTCTTTTTTTACGTGACTCGGGCTCGGAATTGACTCGTACTCGGATTTGACTCGGTAAATGATTCACTCTGTTTGGCCCTCAGGCCCCTCACAAATTCAGTTATTTAGGGGCGGACAATTAGAAATCCCGGGAGGGGGGGGGGTGAAAATTCCCCCAAAAAAATTCGTGCAAAGGAAAATGCCTGGAAAAAAAATTCGTGCAGCCATTGGCGTCAGAGAAAAAAAATTCGTGCAAGCAAACAGCGAAGTAGAAATAGTCTTGAAAAAAAATTCGTGCAGAGGTTAAATGCATTAAAAAAAATTCCTGCAGAGACACGCGACTGAAAAAAAAATTCGTGCCGCAAAAATTTTATACCCCCCCTCCCGGGATTTCTAATGGTCCGCCCCTTACCGAAGTTGGCACTTGGCAATATGGCACACCACACTGAGAGTCTGAGACGCTGACTGCTGTCATGATTATATTTATAAATCATTGCTTTATAAATAATTACTTATTCTGTTATTCAGTTGTAGCGCATTTCAATCAATATTTCGAAATTCGAATCATTCCATCCTGAACAACATGCGTCAATGTATTATATATGTGTTATAGCCGGTATATTTGTATTCAGACAATTCAGTCAGTTTTTAATAATACACAATACAAAAGTGCGATACAAAAACATGAAACAATTTACAACACTACATTTACCTGGCAGAATGATTCAAAAGTCTCTTGATGAATGATCGCAGTGGAACAACAGCACAGTCTTCGCCTCAATGGTCGTATGATGTTCGCCTTAAAAAGCCATATTCCAGAAACAAAAGACCGCCGAAATACAATTAGATCAAATTTCGGAATGGCTAACGTTTATTGGTTAATCGTGCCTCGTCGGAAATAAACTTTCAGTATGCCAATTCCAGATGGGTCTGATCATAGACTGCTAGACATAGTCAAAAATTTTTTCAATTCGCGGCGCCGCCGGCGCGCAAAAAATTGCGGTTCCCGTACGTGTATCGCGATATTTCTCGCGCGCGCGCTTGAAAAATTGCAATATATTTTAAATTCATGCAAGCGCGCGCTTGAGAAATTGCGCAATCTCAACTTCGCGCGCGCCTCATTTTTGAAATTGCGCGTCTGACAGCTAATTTTTTTAAATTTGCGCGTCTGGGCGCGCATTTTGAAAAAAATTGCGCGACCGAGATCTCGGGCGCGCAGTACAAACTTTCCAGTCTGGGGCCCGAAATAAGCCGAATTGCCGGTTCAGTTCATTTAGGAATCGAAGTTAATTCTACCTCGGAACTGTCCGACCAAGTTTGTAAACCGTGTGAGCGAAATATCAGAAATGCAAGCGAACTGATTGCCATAATCAAACGAGACATAAACACGTTGCCTGTGTACGTTCGAACAAATAGACAGTTGTATATTAAAAATCTCAGTTGCCAATATGAACTGTCTCGTCTCTCTAACGAAGCCGTGTGGTAACGAAAGCCTTAAAAAGTTCAGAAAGTGAAGCGGCTATTAATAGGCATAGGCGTAATAGACTAATAGTCCTGTTATAAAACCCGTTGCAAGGAAGACTATACGGCCGTCTGTTATATTTTCTCGCGCCAACAAGAACAATGTAAAAATCAAGCTTTTCCCATAGAATGGCCAAAACATTCTTTCCAAGGAGTAAATCTTTAACTGCTATCTCTTGCTCGCGTTTGGCAATCAGTTCGCGTTTCGACTTTCGAGAAGCGTTCAGTTTTACAACACCTATTAATTAAAGCGAACGCATGCATCATTAAAGTGTCAAACGTATGTTTACATATTAAAGTGTATTCACTTTTGAGTGACAGCGGCTCAGACTCGCAGCCAATCATCAATTCCCGTCCACTGGTGGACGGGAAATTCGATTACACTGCCAAACCCAGCAGGCGGTATTTCCCAGGCTTGCCCAATTTTAAGAACCGCCTGCCATGCAGGCTAAGGGAAATGGGAAAGCGAGGGAAAAATAACGACTGGTAGATTACAGAGACAAAATGGTGGACAATTTTATAAAAAAAAGGAAAGACTATTTTAATATACACCACAGAGCGTTTTTAGCTGATAAACTCCCTTGTCCGCATGAGGAATGTCAGTATAATATATCTTGCTATGATCAAGATCTTTTAGACCACCATTACAGGACAATCCATAAATGTCCTGTTATTTCAGGCTTTCAGCTGATATTTAATAAAATTTAAAAGACGAAAAGTCTTATTGTGCCAGAGAACTGAGAGAAGCACTCAAAGGAAACACTGTTATGTTTGGAAAAGCTATCGATTAACAACCAATCGAAGGTATTCGTAAATCTAGAGTGTTGAATGCTTTTAATTGGAGCCAGTGAGCAATATAAAAACAGGTATTTTATTCAATTTTATTTATGCATTTATATCTTTATATTTCACGATGAAATGCACTCTTAAACTCTTTGGATTATAAAGAAAACAGCTTTTTGCTGGGCTTTTTTTGCAACCTGTGTATTTCACAATTTGGTTGCCGAAACTACAAATTTTTGTTATTTATAAATTACTTTATAATTAAGTGCTATTAACTCCAGGTTTTGTGTAATATGATTATGTGCCAACTTAAAACTTTGCATACAAGGCTATCAAATCAATGACAAGACTTTTGGAGCATTCAAATATTTCCCAAAATACCTGTAAATAACAAAATATACCCCCCCCCCCTAAGTATTGTTGCTGTATGATGAAAAGACATTACATTGGCCATTAACAACACATTGTTGGGGGCACAGGGTTGTAGGGATAATATAGAAGCTCAGGTGGCACATAACTCCTATCATAGCCTTAATTGAACAATTTGGAAAACCAGAAATACTGTATCAATGCACTGGGGGCAATCTGGCAATTACTTCTAACTATGTTCTGACAATCCTTGCACTCATAGTCCTTGAAATGGGAAGGTAATTTCTACCTTGTATCATGGCCAACGTTTAGGGCCACTTTCAGTGCCGTAGCAAGCTCGATAATTGGGGGAGGCTCATATTCATATATTCGTGTTCTGCGTTATTAATTTCTTTTGAAATTGATTGTTTTTATGGACTGTGAATATGAATATATGAATATTAGCCCCCCCCCCCCAATTATCGAACTTGCTACGTACTGACTTTTGATTGTTATACCATTAAGTCTGATAATTGCACCACCAATGGTTCTGGTATCTCTTGTTTTTCCCATCATCATTTCTGTACTGAACTTTACAACATATAATATATTCTTGTTTATTCCAGAATTATCTCACAATTGGGACACCATTTATCACACAATTGGGAATTTGTCCTGACTCACTCTGGTTTCCCAATTAAGCCCTAGAGTGACAGCACTCTCCCTTGATGAGTAAATTGTCTGGTGTTAGACAGAGTAAAATAATAATGTAGGGCATATCAGGGTGCATTGCCACTTAAACTCTTGATCTGGGTGGCAAAATACAGTACCAAGCAAGATGTATGGAAAGTGAAGACACAAAAGCTGGATTAATTTTGAACCATTTTAATTGGATAACAGTGAATAATTTTAAATTAATTTAAAATTAAAATGTATTATAATTACAGTTAGTTGACATGATGTAGTGGAGCATGTCTATTATATTAACTTAATAAAGCTTTATACTTTCATATGTTATCTGCATGGTGGTGGGTGGGGGGTTGTGCAGAAAAATTCAGGGGTGGAAAGTGAGTGAGGGGCACGTAGCCACAGAATAAGGCACACCGAAGGTTGGCACTCCCCCCTGGACGTTCGCCATTTTGAATAATATCAGGGGAGTGAATGCCTCTCAAACGCGCACTGGCTAGGACCATGACGTCAGCATTTGATTACGGGTTACGCCAAAATCATAGGAAACCCAAGAAGTCGGCCTTCTGTGTACCTTATTCTGTGATGTAGCATCCTGAGGAAGATTAGCCAAAACACAATATACCAGACAAATATAGAAATATTATGTCATTTGTAATACAATGTAATGAATTGGATTGATCATGTATTGCATATGCACATCAGCCTTTACACATGTAAAAAGAATATATTTGTTTTATATGTTCGCACAACACACTTTTTTTTTCACAGTTAGGAAATATGGCGGCCAAAGCTCTTGAAAGGTGGCTTTTTACACTAAGATCATCAGTAACAACATCCTCTTGTTTAAGTCTCAACCCATCTGTTTTGATGCATATATTCTTTAAAGAGCCCTGAAGATCTCCAGGAACAAATGTGCTAACATCACCTGCACATTCAAACATTGGACTTTTGAAGTGACTTATTAAAAATACAAGTTCCAATCTTGAACAACTTTCCTGCATTTAGTTCTTGGTAATCCCGGACTCTTAGAATCTGGTGTTAGGTCGTGTTTGACGTCAAATGGCAGTCTCGCTTTAGGAGTTCTAGGAGTGCTGGTCTTAGGACATCACGGTGGTCGGTTGCTATGCATTTTGCTCCCGGAAGCGCGGGCTTCGTTTTTTCCAGCGGTGTTAGTGTGAATGGGAAATGGCGTCGTTTTACTTTATAATAATCAGAAGGGCCATGCCTGTTTGGCTTAAAATTTCTTGCTGTTAGAACAAATTTGTTGGGTATATTTTAACAGATTTATAAACTTCAATACTTAAATGGAACGATCGTAATAATTTTATTTTTAGCTGTCAAATAACAATCGGAACTATTAACTGCCTTCGAATATAGCTCTAGCGTGGCCGCGATATTTAATTCGCTCCTTTACACTTACAGTTTCAGTTATCTTTCATATTGCGGAACGCAAACCAATGTACACACTGTCCGTCTTTTCGCCTAAATTTGTGTTTCTTCATTAGTATATACAGTTAATTTTAGGGAAATTGTCTGACGCTACTAATACAGTGTAACTATACAGACAGAGAAACATGCCGACTGTTTTGGTTGGCGACAACAAATCTAGCTATAGTTCACGCAAGAATTTGTTTGATGAATATCAGAATATGTTCTATTAAACGTTTTCATTTTATGTTTGTGTATGATGTATTTTTGAGATATATAAACACATACTTC